TAATCTGTAAAATTTTTTAAACAATCTAACTCATTGTTTTAAGTTGGATTGACCTAAGGTTTTTTCCAACATTTAGTTTATAGTTTGTAGATAAATTTAAACTATAATTTTGTTAGTTTTGGTATTATATTAAGTGAGTTACAATCCTTCAAAGTTAAGCTATCAAAACTGAAATATTTTAGCTTTTCAGCAAGTTTTTAAAAATTTTGTAATCTGTAAAACTTTTTAAACAACCATAACACATTATATGCCCCTCTTAAACCTCAAAATATCATATTTGCCCAGCTTAATTTCTTAATATCATATTTACCCTTCATAAACCTTTAAAATATCATATTTGCCCAAATCATTTTTTATAATGTTTTTAATATTTTATAATCGTTTTTTAAAACTTAAAATTACTATAATAATTAAAAATTTTAACGATATTATCTTTACGTCTATGATAATGGAATGTGAACTTCTAAATTGTTGAATGTCGTCATCTTGACAAACAAAAATATTCATCTTCAATCCTCTCTATGGAATCTATATTTTGATTGTTTAGTTTTTTTTGTTGTAGATGAAGGATATTTTAGATATTACCATTGATATTTGATGTTTAAAAAGTGCATATACGATATTTTGATATTTAAGAAGGGCATACATGATATTTTGATGTTTAAAAAGGACATATATGATATTTTGAAATTTTATGAAGGGTAAATATGATATTTAGAAATGAAGTTGGGTAAATATGATATTTTGATGTTTAAGAAGGGCATATATGAAATTCTCCCTTCTTTTTAAGTCGGATTACCCCAGATTTTTTCCAACATTTAGGTTACAGTTTGTAGATAAATTTAGATTATAATTTTGTTGATTTTGGTATTATATAATCAGTGAGTTACAATCCTTTAAAATTGACCTATCAAAGCTGAAATATTTCAACTTTTTAACTATCATTTTATACTATAATTCTGAATTTTCTCTATCTTTGATAGATAAATCATATGAAATGAATCTTGGTGAACTTGATTTATATGTTAGTTGATTTTATTTGGAAAATTAATTTCTCCACTTATAATATTATAATATTAAGGTAGATTAGTTATGCATGAAACAGAAACATAATCATTTTTACAAGTTGTATCGTATCAAACCTAAAAACTTATTTTAACGACTTGTACTCTATGCAATTAAAGTTGTACCGGTCCAAACGGGTCCAAGAACCGGAAAACCCGGACCCGGACCTGGACCTGGACCTGGACCTGGACACGGACACGGACACGACTCATCCGGTCCAGTCCATGGTCCACAATATTCTCCATAACTGGCCCGGTCCAAACGCCGATCCGGTCAGTTCGGTACAAATGCTCACCCATACACCAAATAGATGTTTTTTCATCAGGTAAGTTACAAACCCACCATTTTGAATCCCCCTTTTTCGATTTTTGAAATCCATTTCCCCCGCTGGCCACCACACGTGCTCTGCCATGAGCCTCCAACTTTCTAGTCGACTATATCCATCATCATCACCAACACCACCTATTAGCACCATAATATGACCGTGGCACTAGAAATACTACCATGAAGCTTTTTGAAGTTGCAAACAAGGTTTTTGTGGTTGAAGATGATAATCATATGGTACAGGCTCTTTATGCTCATGTTTCTGAACAGGGGATTGGCAAAAACTGATGGTATATAGTATGTTATTATTATTAGAGTACGTTGCTTATAAACTGTTGGATGAAATGTCTCACTGAAGCTGTATTTTTTAACCAATTTTCTTCTTGCAGAACCATGTTGTTCTTGCCTTCTAGCATGTATTTTGTAGGTTGTGGGATTATGTAGTTCTCTTGGAAATGTGTTGTACTCTTACGGTCCCTGTTGAATATGGAAACATTGGCTCAGATGTGTTGATATATTTTTTCCAATAATAATTTGGATGTGTTTGATATAATTTCTCCAATCGTCAAAGGTAGTGGAAATTTCTACATTTTGTTTACTTTTTAAATTGGTGGAAAACGGAATTTATGCATGCTTATACTTCTTGAATCTTATTTATCATTTTCCTTTCTGCTACAGTGCTATGCATTTTGACTTTCATTACACAATTTATAATCTATTCTTCAAGAAAATTCGTTGTGTGAAGTGGGAATGGTGAAACTATGAGTTTACCTTTTATTCAATCTATATTTTATATTCTGACTCAGTTTTTTGGTAGTTAAATACAACAGTTGTAAAACCTCAATGGAAAGCAATAATTGATTTCAAGTGTATTCTAGACAATAAGTCGGTAGTGGCAACAAACCTCAAGAACAGGAATTCAGGTACTACTTGCATGTATTTTTCTTTTCCATTAAACCTTTATTTTAATATTCTTTTGTTATATGAACCAAATTATATTCCATCTCACAAAGTAGATTTGGATTCTGTTATAAAATTGTTTTTTTAATTAAACAATCCAAGTGTGTGTTGACAATCTGTTTGTATGAGATCTTAGCTATGTGCCTTTATTTTGCCACAATTTTGATGGGTAATGGCTAGATCACTGGTCTTGATTATATGAATAAGGTTTTTTGTTTTGTAGGGGTTTTGGTGCTAATATATTGTAGGATTGCACGGCTGTTGTCTCTTTTACCCATAAATTATCTTAATGAATGATTATGTGCTTATTTAAACTTGTTAATTGGTTTGTGGAATTTCAATTTCTTGCAATATTTTAACAAATGGTGTTTGAGAGAGAAAGCATGTAAGGTATTGTAAATGGCATGAGTATCTTTGAAGATTCGAATATGGTTTCATCTTTTTTGTGGTTATTTATTTATTTATTTTTAACAGATGTGTTGGTGCGATTTTGTAGAAGAGTAAAGGAACGGGAAAACATGTGTAAGGTTGTTAAAAAGAATGTTCCTGTAATTCGTCTTTTTGACCTGCTCTATATTCAATTCTTAGGAGAATGAATCTGATTCTTAAAGAATAATGATCGATTTTTTTTAGAATTATGCTTGTAGTTTTTGTTTTTTTCCTTATTCTTAATAGATTTTTTTTTCAAAGGCATTTATCCTTGAATGTAAATGTTTTTTTTTTTTTTTTGCAATAATAATAATAATAATAATAATAATAATAATAATAATAATAATCAAATCCTAAGAATAGTCAAAAAAATCCATCAAAGAATTATTTAAAGGGTAAATGACACAAAAAAAACACTCTTTTTACACGGAAATTCGATTTTGACACTGTGTTTTTTTTTGTGTTAATTTTGATACTGTTTTTTCCAATTTGTTACAATTCTGACCATTTAACCGGTTAACCAGGTTACATGCTGACGTGGCATGATGACGTGTCAGTTTTTGATGACGTAGCATGCTGACATTATATGCTGACGTGTCAAAATTGATTTTTTTTTCTCACAAAAAACACTAAGTTTTCATTTTTATTTTTTTTTATTTTGACACTAAGTTTAATTTTTTCTTTCAACTTTGACACTATGTTTTTTTGTTCCAAATCGAACATCATTTTTTTCCAATTTTGTTCAATGTTGATAATTTTCCATTTGAAATCGTATAAATTTTTTTAAATACATTTAAACCGTATAAATATGTTTCTTTTCATTTAAAAACCATACTTTTGTTTAAATACAATTTTTTTACACTCAAACCATATTTTTATATATAAATATGTATTAGTTATTTAAAAATTGTATTTTATATTAAGTATGCAACTTTAAAATGTGTTTGGAGGTTTGAGGCATGTAGTCGATCAAAATTAAGATATCAAGTTTGCAACCAATCAAATTTTTACATTTTATTAGAAACTTATGGTTAGGTTGATTCTCATTATATACCTAATGTTTTGAATATAAGAAAAAAAACATCTTGTATTTATATAAAAATGTAGTTTTTAAACGAAAAAAATATGTTTATATGGTTTAAAATATAATAAAAAAAAATATATTTATACGGTTTCAAATAGAAAATAGATAAAATTGAACAAAATTTGATAAATGATGTTCGATTGGAACAAAAAAAGCATAGTGTCAAAATTGAAATAAAAAATTAAACTTAGTGTCAAAATCGAAAAAAATGAAAACTTAGTGTGTTTATGAAAAAAAAAAAATCAATTTTGACACGTCAACATATCATGTCAGCATGCCACGTCATCAAAACTGATACGTCAACATGCTACGTCAGCATGTAACCTGGTTAACCGGTCAAGTGGTCAGAATTGTAACAAATTGAAAAACACAATGTCAAAATTAATATAAAAAAAACACAGTGTCAAAATCGAATTTGAGTGTAAAAAGGTAAAAAGGTGTTTTTTATGTAATTACCAATAAGATAGTAAAAAAATCCATCCACGGGCAAATGTCAACTATAAAGTTCCATTTTGAAAGAGTTCACTTCGATACGGTCTAGTACAGAAAATATCATTTTCAACCCTCTTAGTATTACAAGCTACCAGGTTCAGTCCCTACGACTTTAAAATTGAAATAAGATTTTTTAATTCAGTGCATTAGTTTTTTTATTTATTATATATATATATATATATATATATATATATATATATATATATATATATATATATATATATATATATATATTTTCTGTTCTTTATTAAACCTAAACCCGATGATATAATAACTTACTATTTTATAATAGAATTTAAAAAATATAATGAGTGACCAAATTTGTACTATAACGTTTAGCGTTATGATAAAAAAAAAGGTATCTATCATTTTGTGTACAGTAACTCTTATCTTATCTTCTTTTGTAAACCAATCAAACACTCTGAAAGTGTTCAATAGATTCACTCTTATCGTCACTGCTTTTCTTTATGCAGCTACCGCCTTCCATTCTTGCTTTATCATACTCTTCTTTTGTTAGCCAAACAAACTCTGTTATCTTTACTTTTGTGCAATTCATAGTCAGGGCCTTCGGTTTTTGGGTAATCATAATCTTTTTTTTTCATATCTAAAGAATCCAAACCATCAGAAAAGAAGCAACCTATCTAGAATGGGAGAGGAGGCCACTAATATTGTGGTTGGGAAAATAGTGGACTTATTGTTTAGTTCGGCTAAACGGGAGATTGATTATGTCCGAAATTGCACTAAAAATGCTGACATCTTGAAGAATGAAGCACAAAAGCTCAAGGATATGAGTGATAGGATTCAACAACGAATCAATGCAGCTAAAGAAAATGGAGAAGCTCTCTTAGCTGGTGTGCAGAACTGGATGGACAAGGCAGACATTGAAATATCCAAAGTTGAAGAGTTTCTTGAAGAAGAAGCCAACGCCAAGAAGACGTGCTTCAACTTACGACCTTGTGTCAATTTGAGCAGCCTCCACCATTACAGTAAGATGTCGATAAACAAAACCCTTTTTCTTCTGCAGCATCAAGAAGATGGTCAAACTTACGAATCTTGTGTCTCCATTCCCACTCCCACCCCAAGATTTGTAGACCTCTACCAAACAAAGAATCTTGATGATATTGATACCCACAAGTTGGTGTTGAGGGAAATCATTGAAGCGATCAAAGATGAGAGCATAAAGATGGTTGGAATTTATGGATCAGGAGGTGTAGGGAAAACCACATTAGCCAAGGAAGTTGCTGCAGAAGTGAAGAATCTATTTGCAGAGATTGTGTTTATAACTGTCTCACAGACTGTAGATGTTAAAGAGATTCAAAAAAATGTTGAAAAAGCAGCAAAGCGTATAATCATTAATAAGGAGAAGGTTCTAATCATTTTAGATGACATATGGAAAAAGCTAGTCCTCTCTGATGTGGGCATACCGTGTGGGAATAACCACATGAATTGCAAGATCTTGTTGACGTCTAGAAGCAGAAATGTATGTGAAGGGATGAACGTTGATAGGAATATCTGTGTAAACATATTGACGAAGAAAGAAGCGTGGGTCCTCTTCAAACGTATAGTTGGTAAGCATCCTCATCCACGTCTACTGTATATCTGAAGCTTTTCCTCAAACATTTAATATTGAATTCTTATGGCTCGCTCAATTTGGTTTCAACAGAGACAAGCACAGAGGAGACACCATATGCTCTTCTAGCTTTTTTCTTTCCTCATAATGCGCCTTGGCAATTCATCAAACAGTTGGTAAGCATCAACATTTTATCATTTACCTATTAACACCATCCCAAATCATAACGGACATGCTTTATTTTATTAAACAAAGGAACGCCACACAAATTTCAACGAACCCGAGTCAGAGACTGGGTAGTCGGGGTAGGGGTTTTGATCAAATTCCACCAAAATATCTTCAAATTGAACTCTGGATGACGACAAAACCCTATAAAATCTCCCTTTTTTTAAAATCAGCAAACAAATTTATATTTCTTTGATTTTGTAGATATAGGGCTTTTGATTGTTAGCCTAAACTCTCGGATTGTCTTTCTCATCGTCAACTTTATCAACCCTCCTTTCAATCTTCTCAATATGACATAAAGAATTACAAGTACCACCACCTTTATGAATTATGATTCTAAAGATTGATTATGTATTTTCATAATTGGGTGTGGGATGAGACTTAGCCACTTTTTGGATTTTAGTCATCGTATGGGTTTCTTGATGCCCTTAACCATTTTGGTTCTGAGTTTTGACTAACATTTATTCCTCTTTCAATTTGATAGGAAGCACAAAGTAAAATCAATTATTTGAGTGGTGAGAATTATAAGTGTATTTTTACTTATTTTGTATCTTGTTAATCCAAATCCATCCATATAAAGGCTTTTTTGTACCGTTTTATATTTTTATAGGAAAGTGGATTGGGAGCATGCAAACATGATGCCACTAGGCAACTAAGGGTGTTGGTTTAGATGAGAAATACAGGTAGATACCAAAAATGTTGTCCATAAATCTAACATTAAGTAGAAATTAATACATAAAAAGTTGGGGATTTGTTAGAGCAAAATATGGATGTTAGCATATTATTGTATCCATGTTGACCGTTTCTTTAATGTGTAAACAATGGTCAAGAAAAAACGAATGAAAACATCTCAAACTATACACATTGGATCAAATGATCAATTGATATCGGTGGATATTATGAAAAAAGCAGTCAAGAGTATTTAGTTTGGCCTAAACTCTAAACTTAAACGAAAAAAATTGATAAAAATAGGTAGTGGAAGAATAAATATCCATATCCATATAACAAATGAATGAAAAGTTGAGATACTTTTTACTTTTTTATTTACAAGAACTATAAGTTTCATCTTAATAATTACGACATAAACATGATTTGATACAAATAGAATTGCATATGGTTTTAGGTTTACCCAAACACCATTCATTTTGGAAATAACCTAAAAGACATATAGGTAGTAAGTCTAAAGATGGACAAGATGAAAAAAGCTTATCGTTGTCTTTTATCTTCATAATAAGTAAAATTTGAAGATTACAACAAATCTTTTATTTCCCCATTAATTTTGTCAATCCTTATATTTTTGTTTGTGTTATATCTAAATTAAAAAGGAATAGCTAAGGGATTTATTGTCAAAATATTAAAAAAAAAGTAAAAAGAAATATGGTGGTGTAAAGTGTAAACAGTAAAGTATGAGCAAAAGAACTGTCAATACATTGTTTTTGGTATAATCGACTTACAAAAAAACAGTACCAAAAAAGGAACTAAAATCCACTACATATTTAAACAAAGGGTATAGTTGTCATTGCATTATAAATTTTAGTGGATTAATTAAACTCTTCGAGGGTAGAATCATCACCATTACCAAATTTCTTTGACTCTTGTGTGTGCCAAAAAATGATAGTGACTGCCAACTTCAATTTTTCTTTTCTTTTCTTTGCCTTTTCCTTTTTCTTGGTCTTGGTCTTGGTCTGCCACCAACCACTCTCATCTTCATTTTGTGTACAATCTTAGCAATCAGGGCCTTCGATTTTTGGTTAATCATAATATTGTTTTTCATATCTAAAGAAAGACTATCTTCTTCTCTTTTCTGTTTTAGCATAAACGTTTCTTGTTTCAAGATCTGCTATATTGTCGACTAATTTGCCATCCAAACCATCAGAAAAGAAAAGTAACCCAGCTAGAATGGCGGAGGAGGTTGCTAATACTGTGGCTGGGAAAATAGTGGACTTGTTGTTTAGTGGGGCTAAACGGGAGATTGATTACATCCGAAATTACACTAAAAATGTTGGCAAGTTGGAGAGTGAAGCTCGAAAGCTCAAGGGTATAAGGGGTAGGATTCAACAACGAATCGATGCGGCTGAAGGAAATGGAGAAATTCTCTTAGCTGGTGTGCAAGAGTGGATGGACAAGGCAGAAATTGAACTATCCAAGGTGGAAGAGTTTCTTGAAGAAGTAGCCAACGCCAAGAAGACGTGCTTTAACTTACGACCTTGCGTCAATTTGGGCGCCCTCTACCATTACAGTAAGATGGCGATAAACAACACCTCTTTTCTTCTGGATCAACAAAAAGATGGTGAAACTCATGAAAATCGTGTCTCCATTCCCGCTCCCACCCCAAGATTGGTAGACCTTTACCAAACAAAAAATCTTGAGGATATTGATACCCACAAGTTGGCGTTGAGGGAAATCATTGAAGCGATCAAAGATGAGAGCATACAAATGGTTGGAATTTATGGATCAGGGGGTGTAGGGAAAACCACATTAGCCAAGGAAGTTGCTGCAGAAGTGAAGAATCTATTTGCAGAGATTGTGTTTATAACTGTCTCACAGACTGTAGATGTTAAAGAGATTCAAAAACATGTTGAAAAAGCAGCAAAGCGTATAATCATTAATAAGGAGAAGGTTCTAATCATTTTAGATGACATATGGAAAAAGCTAGTCCTCTCTGATGTGGGCATACCATGTGGGAATAACCACATGAATTGCAAGATCTTGTTGACGTCTAGAAGCAGAAATGTATGTGAAGGGATGAACGCCGATAGGAATATTTGTGTAAACACTTTGAAAAAGGAAGAAGCGTGGGTCCTCTTCAAACGTATAGTTGGTGATGAAAAGTTAGCGAATGACTCCGGTCTGGAGAAAATTGCAAAAGAGGTGACTGAAGAATGTGGTGGATTGCCACTCATCATTCAAGCGGTGGGAAATGCTTTAAAAAATAAAAAAATTGATATATGGGAGGCGGCACTTGACCGACTACGAAAGCATGCACCTCTAGAGATCGATCAAGAGATAAGGAAAGCATTTACTCATTTGAAGCTGAGCTATGACTTACTTGACAGCAAAGAAGCTAAATCATGCTTCCTACTGTGTAGTTTGTTCAAGGAGGATGGAATCATATCTCTGTTAAGCCTAGCAGAATATGGGGTAGGTATAGGGATATTTAAAGATCTGGACAGCATTAACGATGCAGAAAAAAGAGTCCGAATGGCAGTTGACACCCTCACATCCTCTTGCTTGTTATTGTCTAAGCTGGGAGGTGCAGTAAAAATGCATGATGTTGTGCGTGATGTGGCTTTGTTAATAACTTCTTCTTCTGAAGGTGAAGAGAAGGAGAAGTTTTTAGTGGAGGCTGGAAAAGGTTTGACAGAATGGCAACCAAGAAACAAAACCTCAGACAGGTACACCAAGATCTCACTCATGGATAATAGAATTGAAAAGCTTCCACATCATCAGCTTCATTTCCCACTCCTTGATACTTTCCTTATACGAAGAAATTATTTGTCTGTTATTCCTGATGAATTCTTTGGAGGCATGAAGGAAGTTAAAGTTTTAGATATGTCTTACAATAAAATCACATCCCTCCCACAATCGCTGAAGCTGCTCACAAAACTCATCACGCTCGATATAAGTTACAATAAGAATCTCATTGAAATTTGTATAGTTGGGGAGCTAAAAGACCTTGAGATTCTAAAGGTTAGAAAAACCGGAATTAAAGTGATTCCTGAAGAGATCGGTCAATTGACCAACTTAAGGCTGTTGGATGCGGGGGAATGTGATGATTTATCTCATGTAGCGCCTGGTGTCATATCAAAGCTCACTTGGTTGGAAGAGTTGTATTTTGGAACCTATATCAATGACAAGAACGCAGTGTCTCGCTTTGGTCTTATGGAAATAAGTAAATTGAAATCGTTCAGAGCTCTGCATTTATCAATGCATTCAGATGATTGTCATCTTTTTCCCCAAGGCACCTGCTTCGAAAAGTTGAAAGAATTCTATTTTCGATTTTGTAAGGGCGAAAGGTTTTTATTTGAGATAGAATCAAAATCATATTTAAAACGTCGACTACACATTTCAGAGTCTAACTTCCCGTTCAAGATGCCAATCAAGAAACTGTTTCAGGTAAGTGATGGTATAATGCTGACGCTGATAGCAGGTTTGGATAACATCATACCAGACCTCTATGGAGAGAGTACTATTGATGAATTAAAGTCTATTCGAATGATTAGTTGTGAAAATGCTTCATGCTTGGTGAAGATAACAGATGAGGATGAGGATGCAACACAAACTTTTGTTGCATCCAATGACCTGATGCTTGGTCAAAGGAAAACAACAAAGGAAAAGTATTTCTCCCAAGTGGAAGACATCCGTCTGACTGACCTTAAGAGCCTGAAGCTTCTTTTTGATTGTTCATTTCAATATATAAGTTTGCGAAACCTACAAGACATTGAAATTTCAGATTGTTATTCCTTGTTGACAGTATTCCCGTTAAGTGTAGCACAAGGGCTTTCCAATCTGAGACGTTTAGAGATTCGGGGGTGTAACAGTTTAATGGTAGTGATTTCTGGTGGAGATGAGCATACAGCTGAAAATGACATTGTGTTCCCTAGACTTACCCATATTCTCCTTTGGTTTTTGCCACAACTAAAGAGCTTCTACTCTGGGGATTCTACAGTCAAATATCCTTCTTTGGAGTTTATCAGGGTGAGTAATTGTCCTAGCATGAAGAGATGGGGTTCCGGAGTCCACGATATGCCCAACGTCGAATTTGATGATGATGAAGAGATCCTTAATTTGTTCCATAAAAATTGATGATCTTTTGATCAGAAAGTACATGTACCATGAGAGAGGTATATATGAAAAGACGAGTAATATACAGCCAAGGAGACAGAGACCAATTTATATGTTTCAAAGACTCATCTTTCTTCTTTTTCCCCCTCAACATTTCATGCTCTACCTAAGATTAACACATAATCACACAATATCAAGGTTCATTGTAAATTGAACGTTGTGGTTCTATGTCATCATCTTCCTCTTCTTCTCCATCAGCAATCTCATCTTCCCAACTCCCAAGTCTCATCATCATCATCCTCATCCACGTCTACTGTATATCTGAAGCTTTTCCTCAAACAGTTAATATTGAATTCTTATGGCTCGCTCAATTTGGTTTCAACAGAGACAAGCACAGCGGAGACACCATATGCTCTTCTAGCTTTTTTCTTTCCTCATAATGCGCCTTGGCAAGTCATCAAACATTTGTTAAGCATCAACATTTTATCATTTACCTATTAACACCATCCCAAATCATAACATACATGATTTCTTTTATCAAACAAAGTAACACCACACATTTTTCAACGAACCCGAGTCAAAGACTGGGTAGTCGGAGTAGGGGTTTTGATCAAATTCCAGCAAAATATCTTCAAATTGAACTCTGGATGACGACAAAACCCTATAAAATCTCCTTCTTTTTTTTTTTTTTTTTTTTTTTTTAAATCAGCAAACAAATTTATATTTCTTTGATTTTGTCAGATATAGGGCTTTTGATTGTTAGCCTAAACTCTCTGATTGTCTTTCTCATCGTCAACTTTATCAACGCTCATTTCAATCTTCTCAACATAACATAAAGAATTACAAGTACCACCACTTTTATGAATTATGATTCTGAAGATTGATTTGTATTTTCATAATTGGGTGTGGGATGTGACTTAGCCACTTTTTGGATTTAGTCATCGTATGGGTTTCTTGATGCCCCTTAACCATTTTGGTTCTGAGTTTTGACTAACATTTATTCCTTTTTCAATTTGACAGGAAGCACAAAGTAAAATCAATGATTTGAGTGGTGAGAATTATAAGTGCCTTCTTTTACTTATTTTATATTTTGTTAATGGAAACCATTCATTTAAAGCCTTTTTTGTACCGTTTTATCTTTTTTTATAGGAAAGTGGATTGGAAGTTTGCAAATATGATGCTAGGCAGCTAAGGGTGTTGGTTTAGATGAGAAATATAGGTAGATACCAAAAATGTTGTCCATAAATGTAACATCAAATAGAAATTGATACATAAAAAATTTGGGAATTTGTTAGAGCAAAATATGGATGTTAACATATTATTGTATCTATTTTGACCGTTTTTTTAATGTGCATGCAATGGTCAAGAAAAAACGAATGAAGACATCTCAGACTATACACATTGGATCAAATGACCAATTGATATCGGTGGATATTATGAAAAAAGCAGTTAAGGATATTTAGTTTGGCCTAAACTCTAAACCTTAAACGAAAAAACTGATTAACCAAAATCAGACTTTTGTCTCTTTTCTTCCATATTTGTAAAATTAAGTTTTAATATATGATTACATAGACTTGTGTATTTATTTTATATGACAGTTTTGCATACATATTCTAATCTTGGGGTTTTCTCCTATACATTACAGCTTAGTGCACGTGTATGAAGATTTTTTTATTATTTGTGTCATATATCTCTTTATTACTTAAACTAACAACTAATTCTTCATTTCAATTAGATTTTATTGAAAAATATAGTTTTAAAAATTCTTAGTTTTACTTCTCTTGTAATATTTTTTTTACTATTTGGTATGGTAAAATCGGATAAGGAATGGAATGAGTTATTCCACTGAAATAAAACAATTCTTTGTTTTTTTCCTAATGGAATGGAATAGATCATTCATGAAGAACTCTAATTTCATCATTTTTCTTAATTTTCCTACCTTAGGTGGGAGGTGTTTCTTTTTTCATTTTCATCATAAAATGCAGTTGGAAGTTCTAAGATTGACCATTTTTATTTATAAGTTTATTTTACGAGAAATATTTTAAAAATTTTATGATTTTGATTGATAACAAAAAATAAAAGTACAATGTTATTTCACGTATCTTTTTTAAAAAATTTTGGCTGTTAAACAACATCACTGTTGACCAAACATTTATTCATTTAAATGTTAACTTCTTAATCTTTCTGTCCCTATGAAAAATTGTCCAAAATATGATGTTTTTAGGTTGAAGACTCAAGCTTGGGTTAGGGATTAACTTGAAATTTAAGAAGGCTACATAATGTGTGTTGATCTTGAATCTTTTCTTGATATGCTTACTGTTAACAGCCTTGTGTTTTCGAACTTGGTTTAAGTATATTATTTTGGGACCAAAGTATCTTCAACAAACATAAGCTCTAAATTTTTGGGAATTTTTCTATAAATGTTTTTCTTAATTATAATTTCAATTATACCCTAACGAGATGTGTTACATGGTTTTAGGAAGCAATTAGGGTTTAGTGAATGAAATCTATTATATCTTGAATGACCACTAAAAACTCATTTTATTTCATAAAACATTTTGAGTTTTCTTAGAACCTTCTTTATCAACAGAAAATAAAAGACTATAACCTAATTTTATTATTTTTAAATTAATAAAACCTTTAACAAATAAATTATTTATTCAAGACAAAATTACAAAAATGGTCTCTAGAGTTTATCAAAGGTTACAAACTCAGTTCCTGTTAATTTTTTTTTTTGATGCAAATAGACCCCGTGGTTTGCAAAAGTTGCATGGATAACCCTTTTTAGTAATCCCGTCAATATTTGGTCATTAGGCCATATCACGTGCCTCCCACATGGGGGTATTTTGGTCTTTTCAAGTGTAACAGGGACTTAATTCGTAACATTTGGTAAACTACAATAACTATTTTTGAAGTTTATTTTAAAAGACAAATAAATGGCTAAAGAAAGAGGGGATAACCAACTGAGCTGAATGCTCACATGGTTTATTTCTTTTTAAAATTAAATTATGTGATAACAAAATCGATAAAACATAAACAATAAATAAATTACAAAAAACTTTTTTTACATAATTTTTTTAAATAAAACAAAATGTATTTTATCGTATTTATTTTATGTAAAATATTTTTTTTATGTCTTTAAAAAAATACATTTTCGTATAATATGTTATTACGATGTATTGGAAGGTAAAATCGGTCGAATATGTTTTCGGTTTGGTCCAATCGGTTTTCAAAAAACCATTTTTCGGTTATATGTATTTAAAAAACATAAAAAACCTATTCGGTTATATATCTTTTTTAAAATACATATTTCATCTTAAATGTATGTTCTAAATCGTATGGTTAAAATGAAGATGGAAAGAAATAGTCCCTATGGTTTATCAAATGTTATGAATTTAGTCCCTGTTACACTTGAAAATACCAAAAATACTCCCACGTGATATGGCCTAACGGGCGAATATTGACGGAGTTACTAAAAAGGGCCATTCGTGCAACTTTTGCAAACCAGTGAGACTATTTCCATAAAATAAATTAGCAATGACTGAGTTTGTGACCTTTGGTAAACCATTTGATCATTTGTGACATCCTCAAATTCATGGTCATTTTAAAATTTTTATTATGTTTATTTAAAAATCAGAGTATTCAATGTTAAAGAATAATATTGCGGAATTTGTTCCCAGAAAACATGATAAATATATTATCAAAGCATTTCCGAATAAATGTATTTTGTTTATATTAAAACTTTAGGATATCATTGTCAATACATAAACATAAGCATAAATAGATCTTACATTCATTTACATTAGTGATTTACTTCTCCTTTAATCTCTCAATGAAATGTAGCTTCATATCGACAATTGTGATATGAATAAGCTGAGCGGGTCACGTTGGAAAATCTGGTGAGTACATAGGGTTTTCAACCTACAATAATAAAGTTATTATGTTTCATCATCAAACAATTAACTCAGTTACCCATCCTCATTATCTTCTTTATTTTTTAAGGATCTACCCTAAGAATTATCTATCATTCACTCATTTATTCCTAAGAATTCTCCTAAGGAATAGGCACGAAGTTCATAATTGCCAATGTTATCTATTAGGCACAACTGTCAATATTATCATTTAGGAACAACTGCCAGGATTATGACGTTCTCTATTAGGCGTAGCTGTTGATATTATCCTTTAGGCGCAGCTGCTAGGATGTTTAGAGTACATCGTAGTTCAAAAACATCTACAGGTTATGGCGCAGCTGCCAATGTTCATCTACAGGGCACTAAGTTCATCTATATCATCTTTCATCCCTCATCATTCATCTACCCATTTTTACACAATATTTTTAATGGTAGAAAATACATATGTAGTTATTAACAAATATTGTAAACGTGTATTATTGGATTAGTAGAATAGTCAAAGTTAGTATAGACTTCCCTTTAGAATAGGAGAATAGTCAAAGTCAGTATATATTTCCCTTTAGAATAGGAGAATATCTCTCATATTTCAGTTCATATCTCTGTATATATTGATGTACTGTAAATGTAATACACATACAATTACTCGATTTCTCTATAATAGTTTACATCAAATAAAACATGTATACTCGGTTCATTAAATATTGATATCAAGAACATAGATAATATACACACATAGCACATAATTTATATTAAATACTTCATATCTATGTGTAAGATGAAAGTAACTATGCACTCACTTGTTAAGGTGATGATTCCAAACCCGAGCAGCGCTTCGCTTCCATCAATTATAATTTTCTTCGATGAAACCTACTATCATTACACTAGATTTTAGTCTAATATTTATCGTGACTATTTACGAACGATATTGTTTTATAAACGTTAAACAATACATTTCAACCACTATGTACAGATAGGGGACAGACATGAAACACCGGAAGGCATGACCATTTTGGCATTATAACACTTCTGAAATCCAACAACCTAGACGACCCTTTAAACTGGATTCCCCGTACCGCAAGTAGTTAATAGATATTATAATAACACTTTTTATATCATATTTTATAATATATCTTGTTTATAAGTTCCTAATAAATTTAAACATAAGCTATTCTTAAAGTAGGGTAGACATATCTCACTTATCGGGGGTTTGGCTAGGAACCGGGCTCTGCGGGGGCAGAACTTCCAAGCCGAAAAACTCTTCTTCTCGGAGCCTTCGATCACTCCGGGACTTGCCTCTTAGCACTTGGGAAGTACTAGGGCTTGGGATAGGTATAGAGAGAAGTTAGAGTGAGATAAGGGTTAAGGTGTGAGGAAAATGAGTGAGCCTCGCATGGTATTTATAGGCTGAAAAATGGGTCAACTCGGCGAGTTCCGAGCCTCCAACTCATCGAGTTTAGTGCTAAGTGTCACCAGCTGGTGGCAAGGTGTGGGGAGAAAGCAAGGGCCAGGATTTGGCCACGTCACACCCTTCGCAACATCACCCTTCCGACTTCTAAATTCTGTAACTTTCACATACAAGCTCCGTTTTCGACGTTCTTTATATCCACGTGTAGGTGACGACGTACGCTACAACTTTCTTTTAGACTCCGTTGGCTAATTCTCGACTGATTTTAAATTTAACAATATAAGAAGTTTACACTGTTAACAACCGTGTAAAATTCGAAACTTTTACATACAGACTCCGTTTTCGACTGTCTTTTTATCATTGAGATCCTATTAACGAGATCTTCAACTATCCTCTAGATTGTGACAGCTAAAAATCGATCGATCTAAAATTCGAATTTCGGGCTGTGCACTACTATGCTAAATCTTAGAAAATCATAACTTCCTCATACGAAGTCATATTTGAGCGTTCTTTTTACGCACGTTCTCGGTTTAACGTATACTACAACTTTCGTTTAAATCGCTAAGGCTAAAAAGTAATTTATTAAAAATTCACTTTTTAAGTTACACGATGTCGTGTCGGTTTAACCATAAAACTTCGACGGGTCATAACTTATTCGTTATAAGTCGGATTTCAACGTTCTTTATATGTACGGAATCCTTATGACATATATTATAACTTGGTTAAGATTATTTGTTCTAAGTAATCTTCTATCAAAAAGTCATTTTTGATGCTTATTATCTCTAAATTGACTAGTTCGAATCTGCGGGCGTTACACCATTTTTGTAATTTTTATTTTTTCAATTAAGAGTAAATTACACGAATGGTCCTTATGGTTTGGGTTAATTTTCATGTCTGATCCCTAACTTATTTTTTTAACTCAGATAGTACCCAAAATGTATTTTAATTGCGCATTAGGTCCCTCACAGGCATAAAAAGACAATATTGCCCTTATCCTTCATCATTCAAGATCCCGTATGCCCAATTCATCACCGACCACCCCATCGGCACCCAATTGACCTCCGATAACCCCTACTAATACAACCCTCCAAATCATATCAGTACAAACCTCAAAATCAAAGTAATACAAACCTAATATATGAAATTCAAACCTAAAAATCAAAAGCAAAAGCAAAATAAAAAACACAGATAAAAAATATAGACTGTAAAAGAAATGATTCACATCCTAATATATGAAATTCAATTTTGCAAGTTGAATCACCAACCTAATGAAAAAACGAATCACAAATCATAAACCAAATGCTTCAGATCATAATATACCCAAATCAAGAATGGTAAGGAAAGAAATGGAATGGGGCAGCATTTGAAGCGGTGGTAGAACTCTAACACCACCAACG